AATGTACAGCCCTGTGGCAAGTAAAGCGAATAATCTCTGGTTTCCTTTCCATTTGGAGCTAACACTCTCTGGGACAATGCGAAACGCGGCGAAATTTTTTGGATGCGTCAAGCACATTGTAACATACTCTTTTATGCATATGCATAATGTGCAATGCTGTAATATAGCTGTCTAAATCTCTGCTGTTATCGACTTATATATTTGTTTTTACACTTTGAATTTGTAGTGGCATCTTTTAGATATGATTAGTCGAGCCCTTGGTCCTGAATTCGGCGGAAGTATTGGCGTACTGTTTTTTATAGCAAATATTTTTTCGTGTTCGCTGTACACCGCAGGATTTACAGAAGCGCTCGTTAGCAATTTTGGACCCGGAGGTAATAAATTTAATTATAGGTTTATAATTGTGCTTACTTTTTGTATTAATTCGGCATAGTTTGTTCATGGGTTAGTTTACGTTAGGTAATTTACGAATTATGTTTATTGTTTACACTAAGGAAAATTTCTTAGGAAACAGCATAGAGAGAAAACGAGATTTTAACCGAAGCGATCCATTCGGATAGTTGCTTTTCTTACTACTCAATGAGTTAACGAAATTTGTGACTCTGTTTTTCCGTATATTTTATATTGCGGTACAGAGCTCGGGGTGGATACCTCGTTCAAGAATACAATGTCTTGTGACGTCATTGTCAACGCTAGGCGTCCACCACCACGTGTAGTTTCTCTTTGTCTGTTCCTACGAAATGATTCTCATTTATTTACCTCAGAAGGAAGATGCCAGCGACTTGGCCATCACTGGAGTCTTATCATGACTTTATCGCAAATCCGATCCTTTGAATATTGTTGGTTGCAAGAGAAACCTGCTGATACGTTGGTTGAGAAGCTGTTGTGTTGTTATTTCTGCTGATCACTAGTTGATAAGGATAAGTGGAGTTTCTACACATTAGCATGTTTTGCACTTATGTATACTAATGGTAGTCTAATAAGAAATAAACATTATAAAGCCGAAATGGCGCCTCAGCTAATTTCTTCATAGGGATTAATGAAATAATAGGTTCTGTCACTCGGATGCCAACGGAACTTTTTTTTTCTCAATGTGATGTTTCGTAATTTGTATATTACCCTGATGATCAAGGTGGTGTGTGGTTTCGAAACGCGTCAAATGAAGTGACGTGTGAATATCATGTTAGAAATTGGTTACCTTGAATAATGAAGGAAAGAAAGGAAATACCGTTTCTCTGTAGTATTTCAGTTTTTCAGTATTCTGCGCCTATTGTTGCAGCTGGAGTAGCAAATTTGATGATCCACGGTTCAAGACTCTTGCTTAGCGTATAACTGTCGAACGTTGATCGTATCATACCGTTCACAGAACATTGCGACTTTCAATTTTAACTGCGATGGCAGTATTTCTTCAGAAATTACCTGCCGTGAACCGAAAAAGTGGAACTACTGAAATTATAAGGAACGTTTTGAGTGGTGGTGTAAGTGCTGTTTCCTTCATAACCCTCTTAGATTTTTTAACGGTCTGTGAGAGGCCCAACCAACGTTGTGTCAGAAACTTTGTTTCTATATTTGATCACAGCAGTATTTAGAAATTGTATGGGCTAGGTCGCCGACCTTCGAAAAATCATCATCAACGATAATGGCACTAGTTAAATGAAATTGTCTACATGAGCGAATGGTACGAGTAAATAATCATAAACAGAAGCTACAGGAACCAAAGTAAAAAATGCGTATCAGAAATGTGATCAGAACTGAATGCACAGTTGTAACAGTCACAGGAATACAAAATGCGTTGCAATACAACCGAGTCAGATTAACTGTTGCAAAATGATACTTCCTAGCCGCATCATTATGTCTGAGGATTTGTTGATGTAGTATAACCTGTTTCTGTTCTTATTGTTATGTTGTGAAAAGAACTTCATCACGCTGCGTTTAATGTATGCTTCGAAAGTGATAGACTTACGTCTCTTCATTCTTCTCTATCATTCTCGTGATTGACAGCTGCAGGGTTCGTGCCACCTCTTCTTAGAAACTCGGTTCACTGTATTAAACCGCTGAACTTCCTGACGTTTGATTTTTTAAGGCTACGTGATACTGTATTGCACTAATTAACTGTTATTTGTTTTGTACTGTTTCTCACTAATCAAACAACGTAGAGGGTTTTAGGCTATACGGTGGACGACGGTATGCCAAGCGGGCGGTGGTACGATTTTGCATACGCGTTCTGCGTTACTTTGGTGATTTTGGTCATAAGTTTGGTGGGAGCCGAAATGTTCGCGAGAACCTCTTTACTGGTGCTGGTGGTGGTAGCCGTTTCGTACCTCTCGTTCATTCTCAGCCTTATGGTCAAGGATTATAAGGTGCCGATACCTCTGCCGGAAAACAATCCGTTCGGCAAAGAAACGAAGGACGAAAACGGGACGATCATATTCTCGAATGCGACCACTTACGCGAACTATACGGGCGTACGTTCAGCCACCTTTGCGCAAAATCTCTACGCACACTGGGGCGTCGACTACACCACTGGCCTGAGCATCAATTTTGCTGTAGTGTTTGCAGTGGTGTTCAGCGGCATCACCGGCCTGATGGCTGGTGCAAATATGTCCGGCGAGCTGAAGAATCCGAACCTATCTATTCCGCGGGGGACACTGCAGGCGGTGTTCACGACGCTTTTAATCTACATGTTGACAACGTTCCTGGTCGGCGCTTCTTGCACGCACGATCTACTCGTCAACAACTACATTGTCATGCAAAACATTAACATCTGGCCACCCTTCATCCTCATCGGCATCTTTGCGGCGACGTTAGCGGCGGCGATGAGCAACTTGATCGGTGCCTCACGGGTTTTGTCCAGACTCGCAGACGATCGACTCTTTGGTGAGCAGTCTTACTGTACGAGCGAAATTCAGGATGTTCCAGTGTTACGACAGAAGCCATTTTTCGTGGAAATGCCGCGGTAGCACGGTGCCCCAGAGGCCGGCTTCCAACTTTAAGTTTCACTGGAATCAGAAGACAGTCTTTGTCTTGATCACTAAGTCTTTTAAGCATAGAATTTACCACATGTTACTTATTGTCAGGTAACTCAGAATGGAGAGATGTTGGATTCCAGCTCCTCCAGGTTGGTTCACGCGCGTTTCATTCTTCTCAGGCTGATAAATGAGTACCACTCTGTGGGAAGGCGATAGAGGACGACGCACTACGCTTGTTATAATATAACCGCTGTCCTTTAGAATAAGGCACTCCAGGCTGACGACACGAAAATGGTTATCATCTTCCCACCGTTAGATTCATGAAAAGAAGGGCACTAGGATGGGCTCTCTCATGAAGATGCATGGAAGACCGACGTTCCAACGGTTGCAGACTTTTCATTTTTCTTTCCTATCATGCAACGAGGGCCTTGCTTCTTCTCTGAAAATCATGGATTCGTGTCGTGTTAGATAACCCTTTCAGCTCGACACGTCATACTGTAAGTTTTCGTTTTAAGCTTTGAGCGATCGATCACGATGCCATTTTATGGGTTTACAACGGCTTTCTTCAGCTACCTTGCTTACTTTCTTAAGTTTCACCGTCACTCGCTTAACACTGGTAGTTTAAAATCTACCATTTCTTTCAACAACGTTCCTTCGAAAGCGATGGTTTATTTTCCTGTATTCCTTATTTAATTATTTAATAATTACGTATTTACTTATTTATTGCTTGTTTATTTACTTATCTATTTGCGTATTTGCTGAAAAATATCTTTTCTGAAAAATTAATGAATTATTTATTTGCTTGCTAACTTATTGCTTTTTTTCTTAGTTATTTGCGGGTTACATATATGCTTAGTTTGTTTCTTAC